GCATGTGGGATCCTCCCGGACCAGGGCACGAACCCGCGTCCCCTGCATCGACAGGCGGACTCTCGACCACTGCGCCACCAGGGAAGCCTAAAGTCACTTTTTTAATTGAGGAGGAATAATCAAAATAAATAAGTATCAACAGTATAACAAATAAATGATTCAGAAGAGTGAAACAATCAAATGTAGCAAATATATGTTTCTCAAACCCCATAATATTGTTTGCGAATCTAAAAAGCATTCTTAAAATTTAATAATTGCTCATGAAGCTTGTATTAGGGTTCTCCAGAGAAACAGAACAAATATGAGATATATATAGCGAATATATATTATACATAATAAACGTCTCTAATATAAATATATAAAATATTTAATATATATTACATATAATTTTATAATAGTGTAATGTATACTTTTATATAATGCATAATATACTTTCATATTAAACATGTTGGTTATAAGTATTATGTATAAAAGTTAAGTTGAACCAAGCAGAGTATTTTTGCACGCATAGAGAAACTTAGTGAAAATTTAAAATATATCCTTATTGGTATGAAAGCTCACACTAATCCATCCTTTGAGGGTCTCACCTGTTCATGTCTTACGGTTGAGCAAAACAAAACAAAAACACCAGAGAAACTACACACCCTGTGTCTCTCTATAAATGTGGGGAAGGGCAGATTTTCAGAAGTTCAAAGGAAACACATCTAATTTTCACCAGTTCTGTGCAAGAGTTCCAGGACATTGCAAGACCCTGATTTTCCTGTATAGTGCTGATAAATAAGTTCCACTTGTAAGTAGAGTTAAAATATCCTGTTGGCTTTCTACTTATAATATACTTTCAGTGAGAGCTGGTCAATGGGCAAGACAGTTGTTTCCAAGGAGGGAGCAGTTGGTTGAACAGGGTTGTTTATTTTTCTTCAGGGGAGAAAGAAAAAAATAATCACTTGTTGTTTTTAAAATAAATATTTCAGAGCTTTCAATAATTTGTGCAAAATAGACTAATTTTTCTTTGCCTTTTCCATAAAGTATTAATGAACAGCTTTGGCACAGGCTAAAATGCAAAGGCTCCGACCCCGATCTTTTCTGGACTGTTTGTTTTCAAAGCGCTTCTGTTTCAACTTGTTTGCTGTGCAAAAGTATTGCAAACAAAGCAAGCATCGTGACCACAAATATTGTGATGTTAGCCACCACTTAGAAAATTCCAAAGTCTTCCCAGGGAAAACTTCTCCCCCAAAGTCCATGTAAATCTTGTAAGGTCACAGCTGACCGGGTCCCCAGACCCTCCATGACCTCACAGGCTCAGTAGCCCTCCACCCGGGACACACACTTAATCTCCCAGTGGCAGAAGCATGGTCATCCCAAGGTGTCTGCCCTTGCCCTTCTTTCTGAGTGGAGCGAGGTTCCTTGGATTATGTTAAGGCGTCCTCCTTTAAACCTGTGGTCTGCCTCAGCTGTTCTCTCCGTTTTATTTTGCACACAACGACTCATCGACATCTGACCTAATAGACATTTATTTACTTGTTTGCCTGCTTTTCCCAGACG